TATGTATGTATTGTACGCACAGAGTCGGAGCATTGTACGGAGCAGTGTGGGAAGTGGCCATTGCATTTGCGGAGAGGGAGCGTCAGAGACCAAGTGCTCAATTCATCAATCTCATGGCCAAGTTGGCGTGGTTGAAAGGCCAAGGCCGCAAGGGATCGTGGATGACAACCAGGGCCAGCCAGCATTGAACCGTCGACGGTATTGGCCACACACCGACTGATGCGCCATCGGCTCCTTCCCTTCCTGCTGGTTAAAGTTGGACAACCACCAGTTGACAACACCTGGATTCAGACACTTGGGCGCTATCAAGTCTCATCTGTACGGGTGTTTCGTACCAGACAACACTCAGCCGACACTCCATCTAATAACCACTCCGTACCCCGTACCGATGCCTCTTTACTCCGTGCTTGCCTGGGTACATGCCGAGTACTCCTCTGGACATGTCTAGACTACCCAGGTGCGCAACCAAGTAGCTACCGACTCCATGCTCCAGTCTGCAACTTACTCTGTGAGAGGACACCTCGCAAGGCCCTCCTCCGATTCGAAGCCTCCCGAAGCCTCAACTGCTCTTCAGGGTTGCTTCAGACCTTTGAGCCCACCCGAGAGGTCAGTTGGCGTCACATGCCCTCCAATGTCCTGTTCGACGCCATCAAATTCGGCGAATAGATGCGCATGTGTATGCTCTGCTCTGCCGTGCCGTGCCCTCCCTGACAGGGTCATGGAGTCTGGTGCCTGGACTCCAACATGTACTCCGTACAAAGCCTACAATATAGTATACGGAACACGGAGTATTGCATCATCCAGGATGAATCGGCTTCAAGAAAATTTGGCGCGCATCCTGTCACTTGCGCTGCAGTGGCCGTCACTTAGCATGTTAGCCGAGATGGAAAAGGTGGCATCACCACTCCTAATTTTCCGTTCGCCTCAGCCTGCCACCTCGATGTTGGTGTTTCTCTGCTGTTGCCGTACGCCGTTGATCCAAGCTGGTCTCCCTCCCTCTGCCCGCTGCTGTCGACCTGTTTGTTGATATTACCCAGCTAGCGCCGCAGCCAGTGCACCGGCAAACATTGGCTAACCAGACTGACTTCGCATGGCGGTGGGCGTTGAATTGTGGAGTTTTGCTGGAGACACGACGCGGCACCGCGTCAAGAGGCAAAGGGGTCTAGTCCACCATGTTCTATTAGCTGTTGTGCTATCGGGCAAGGTGATGAGTTCACGGCCATTTGGCTGCTCCCACCGCTGGAAACATGAATTTGCGCAAGCAGCGTCGTGCCATCAATATATCACTGCGCGCTGGCCTTATGGTTAGAGGTTTGATATTAACCGCGCCTGCTCGGTATATCCCAAGACGGACGACCTTGTTCTGATCCCCGGGATTGGGAGGAAGAGGGAGATCCAAGTTACTGCCTATCAACAAATCCACCCACCATATCACGCTCCTGGACATCCCGTATTACCCGCTGTACGGTATCAACGGCCAAGCCAAATCGCTATCATCATTCCATCAACAGAAAGGCAACCACAGTATGTACGTATTAGTGATTTCTCACGGATTCTGACTACCACTACTACTCGTACCAAGTACCAGGCTCCCTTGTCAGTTAACCCCGAAGCGTGCAGCGGGCCGTTAATGCATGGCCATGGAACGGATGGGGGGGCTCTTATTCAACTGCAACATCAAGTCTCACGGACCAAAAACATGGAGCATACGTGCTATGCTTCTGCTAATGTCCTGATGACCATTTCCATGCGCAAAACTGATATGTGGTTCATTGCTCCAGCCGCCAGAGGCAACTGCTAGCTTGTGGTGGACTTGGAGTCTGAGTTTTGTGCTGCCTTTCGCCAACCGCCCACACAACACCAGGCGTCTGCAGCATCACCAAATCCGTCGGTACCGAGCACGACTGAGAATCATCGCTGATTGGCAACAAGGCGGCTCCTCGTCGTGCTGGAAGGCTGGCGATTCATCACCACCGCAAGTCTAGAAGGGCTGGATCTTTGTTCTAGACCCAATTGCACCTTGTCTTTGCGTCAGAAAACCTCACAGTTAACAGAGAGCATTCCAACCATCCCCGGGCCTTGGGATGGCACGAGCCGTCGTGTCCAGGCCACCCTCCGCCCTCCGCCCTCCTTTCTGCTCCCTGCTCCCTGGTCCCGGTGATGTCGGCATTTGGCTGGTCATTGTGTATGGAGCATGTACTCCGTATGAACGGCTGGCCCGATGTGATAATGACTGCAGAGCGATACCCCAGACGGTGGCAGGGTGGCTTGCTCGCCAGATCTACACCACGTTTCAGCTTTCCGTCTCTCGCCCTGAAGTGACATGAAAAGGGTCCAGTGCAAATTTCGTTTCCAGCTTTCAGGACAAAGTTGGGCCATTGGCGCCTGCACAACCGAAAATATCGGTCTGAATCTCCACCCATCAGATGTGGGGAGGGAGGCACTGCAAAGGCCCTTCGGAGACGAGCCCAAATGGTCCGTTTGGCAGCCGCCTACGTCACTTGCCGCCAAGCCGTGTTAACCCAGCTTAACCTGTTTGATTCGCCAGATGGCGGAATGGGCTGACTTGATCCTGTGCCCGTCACCTTTCTGCCGGTGGTATGACGAATGGCCCCACGCCGACAACAATGCCTCTGACTCTGCTTCATGCATGGCCCTTGGGAGCTCCAAAGCGCTTCGTACTCGGTATGGAGCAAGGTGCTAGGCTGTGGGCTGGAGGCAGGATGCGTTTTAGCCTTTTGGCGTGACGGCTTTTCAGGAACCGACCAAAAGCAGTTGGCTTGTGTTTTTGAGAGCAGCCCCTGGTGACGGTCCTGGCAAATATCGGTTCATGGTCACTAACAAGTTAGATACTATAGGAGCATCTATTATTGCCTGCTGATACGGCGGAGCACCGAGTCCTTGCGAATTTGAGAGAAGCCGAACCCGTACCGGCAGGTTGTTGCCCCTGAGACTAGTATGTTACGATGGCGTTAGGAAGAGTACTGGACTTACTCGCAACGTCAACTGGCCCCAAAAGGTGACTTGACTCGTCTAATCGTCTCCGGCAGTTGCCAAGCTGTTCTCGGCCACGGCCGCCACCCCCACGACGGAGAACCACTGCGAGCGCTCTGAACTTTGCAGCTGATATGGAGATGCTTGGTTACGGGGGACAGGAGGTCAATGTTTATCATTGGAAGCGGCACTCTGTTGCCCTGAGGCCAAAGCAAAGGTTAATATCATTAGTTTTGCCTGGGAAGCCGTGCGGTGGAGCGCCAAACTCAGCCCATGGCTTCTCATGGATGGAACCCCTTTAGTCTGGTTTGGTTCGTGTCGATCGCAGCGTGGCCGCCAAGCTTGCCTTACATGAGATGAGGTCACTTGGACGGGTTTCCTCAAAGGTGATGCCATTGGTGGGAAACTGAGTTTATGCCTCGCGCAACAACGTTTAGTATATGAGGACCCATCCTTGGAATAGTATCCTCATATCAGGCACAACGCTAGACGCATTGGCTTTTGCCATGACAATTTTATCAAAACTACCTGAGGGCTGGGAACTACTAGGGGTTGCCGCCTTGTTTGTAAACACTGGCAACGCTCGCCTTGTACAGCCAACAGGGCTATAATAAAAAAACAGGTTCAAAATTCAACCAAAACTCCCAAACTCTGTTTGCGGCGTTTACAACCTGATAAATATAGATTGTATGGTAGTGCCAGAGGAAAGCTTGACCAATCTTTGATCTCGTTACTATAAATCACCTAGACCTTTATGATCCAAAAGCCATTCTAAACGCCATATTCTTCTCGGGGTTTATCACAGTGAATGAGTTCAGCACGACGTGGTCTGTTTGTACGTGCGCGCGTCTAGAGCTGTCGGATTCTGCACCGGTGGCCAACCACAACAGAAACCTTCTCCTTGATGTCAGACCTCGAACAGATGCTAAATCTGTCTTCACAACTCTCACGCCATCCACCTCCCCCCCCCGCCGGCTAGTTAGCCCGCATACAACAGTACCGAATCTCCCAAGTGCTCGTCTCCGCCGATTTACATGTTGCACGTGTTGCCAAACACATGCATCGATTCCCAGACCGCCATTATCTCCCGCCGGGCGTCAATACCACATACAACACCCCAAAGCACAAAAACGACGTCATTCCCGTCCGAACCCCAGTGGAGAATCACACCCATCCGTCATCAACCTGTCAGTCCGTTTCAACCACCCACGAACGGACCAAACCCAGCCAGCCCCTCCCTCCCACTGCCGATCCCGTCCCTCCTAGCTAATTAAACGCGGCGGACGGAGCACATCATTCCTATCAAATACTACTATCCTGATAGCCAACGTGAATAGCTATTTGGGACATGCTGTGATTGTTGGAACCTCTCGAGGCCGCATCGTAGCTTTCATCAGGTGACCTCGTACAAGACGTCACAACAGCACCAGTGGACATCAGGAGATGAAGACACGCAGCGCGAGTGACGATCCTCGAGAGCGCGGCAGCCGCCTCTTCACCGCGTGACAGACAGGCTGCCTCTTTCTGTTTCTCCCGTCGACAATCTCTGCACAGCCTCTCTTATGGATGGATGGATGGATGGGACAGCCTTTGAACATGAATGACCAAAGTCGTCATACTGATTGCGATGAAGTAGGTGGCTGGCGGTGGTGGCAGCAAAAGCATCACTCCGCTATTCCACAACCCATCCTGGACAAACTGTAAACAATCATGTGCGTGCAATTGATAAAATCCACTAATCAGCGCTGTCGCTATTTCGAGATCAAGTATTACATGCCTTCGTTTACACAGCCCATGTAATCGTATCCTCTCGCTCATGCATATTTGGGGTATCCGATACTCTCTTGCCTAAATCAACTTTGTAAACCCCAGATAATCGCCCCCCCCTAAAACGAGGAAATATAACAAAGGCAAAAAAAGAGAAAATAAAAAAAAAATAAAAATAAAAGAAAGCGCTTGAAAAAAATCATTGCGCGACATCACGTCGTCACCGTCGGGAAGCAGGTCTACCTCCTAGGTAAGTTGCTTCTTCCAAACTGCCCTGCGCCAAACGCTCCTCCAGTCTGCCACCCCTGGCTGACACTATTCCTCACAATGAGCGCCGCTGCCACCGTCGCCGCTTGGCGTTCCCGTTGGCGATGCCGCTCTTTCAGATACTTTGCCGCTTCAGGTCGCATTCTGAGAATACGCAAGATCATGTCGTCGCTGGGATCGGCCTGGGCCTCGCGTCGCTTGGCCTCCTTGGCTTTCCGCATCGTGCCCAAGTTGCGATTCATCATGATGCTCTTCCCGCGCCTGATGGTGCCCATGCTTGCGAATGCGCCAGCACCGCCAAACGACGCCCCGAAACTAGCCGGAGCGGACATGCGGTTCTGCTGCGGTGCCTGCTGCAGCAGCGCTTGTTGTGCTCGCTGTGCCGTGGCCGACGCCATCCGTTCTGATTCTCGTATCAAGTTGCCACTGTCCTCAAAGTAGAAGAAATTCAGAGACGCAAGCTCGTGCCACTTAGGCGATTTGAGCACCTCAGCAGGCACACCCAACTGTTCACCGGATTGCTCGTCCCTGGCATTAAAGAAGTTGAAAAGCATCTCTAGCCAATAATACACAACATCTAGCTCCCTCCGGCTTAGAGGCTTCTTGGCCGATGGCTTATCAGACATGGGAGGGACCAGTAAGTTTTCAATCGTCATGAGGACTTCCTTCCACAACCTCGTCATGACTGCTATCATAGTCGCGTCGGTCAACGTCTGCTTCATGATGGCAAAGTTCTCGTCAAAATACGTGAACAGACGAGCTAGCGCACCCTCAATCTGGCTTGGTGTGACTGCAGCTGCAGTTGAGGCTCGCTTCTTCCATAGACTGGTCATTGAAGCCCCAATCCCACCTATGCCCAAGAGATTTCGCAGCGTCTCCAGAGACAACGTATCATTAATTTGTTGTGTGAGCTGCAATCAACGTGTTAGTGGGTAGATGTGAGGACCAATGGGAAAAAAATATAAACTTGCCTTATCTGTAACTTTTCGTACCATGTCCCTTTCCGTTCTCTTGAGATGACGGAAGGCCTTGCCAAAATGGAACTCAATATCATCTCGTTCCCCTTCCATGCTGACTCTGATAAGAAGCCGGCCTTGAGAGTCCAAGTCTAGCCAAAACTCTCGGGGAAGATAGTCGCCAAAGTGCACTGGATCCAGCTTAAGTGATGTGCGCCCAACGTAGTCGTGATCGCCGAAAGTATCGTAGTCCCAGATTGTGGCAATAACATTCACTGGTCCCTGAACCGTGATATCAAACGACTCGTCCCAACGGGGGTTGAGATTTTTATAAATGATGCGCGTTTTGTGTAGTCGCTTCTGGTATTCATCGCCAAAGACGACATAAGGGTCGCTGAGTCCATTCGCATCACAGGCCTTGAGATCCTCCGCCTCCACAACCTTAATTGTGAAGGTGTACTTGCTTGGTTTGCGAACCTTCTTCTTAGGGCCGTCAATTTTCTCGAGGAGCGTGGCACACGCTTCCGAGTTCATGCTCTTCTCCAGCTTATCCAGCTCTTGCATGGCGAATTCGACATTATTTAGCTTCACAAAGGACTGCGCAGTTCGTTAGCATCCAAAGGAGGGATATGCATATTGACGGGAAAAAGGGAAGAAACTCCATACCTCGGCATAAAATTGAAAGGGTTCAATCTTCTCCTTATTGCTCCAAGCGTCCTTCGCGTACTGCATCCATTTCTCCTGTGTAGTTCTGCTCTGGGCGGCAACCTCCTCCGCCGATGGACGGTCCATTTCTTTCGCAAACCTTTGCTCAACAACCTCGCAATATCGACCGACAGCCGTAGCAACAGTTCGTGCAAGCGATGTCATGAATCGTGCATAATGTTCATCATTATTCCACCCCAAGCTGACCACCTGGTCCACCGTCTGGTTTAGAATCCTGAAAAGATCGATCACAGACACACTATGTCGCTCTGAGTCAAGCGGAATTTGTTCTGCGCCCTGAGCCCGGACCCGAAACTCGTCCTTCTTAATGGCTTCGTCAACGTAGCCATTGACCTTTTCCTCTGCGGCGCGGATGAAGCGCCATACAAATTCTACAAGAATATCTTCGATATCAAACTCAAATGGCACACCATCAAGTGACTCAACGTGGATGCGACGAATCGCGACCAACTCTTTGTACAAGTCAAATCCATCTCGGATAGGAAGCTCCTCACCGACCTCGTCTGCGCCTCTCATAATCGTCTCGATAATAGCCACCGCGTCTTTCTCAAAGCTGGGGAACACCTCTTGGACAAGAATCGATAGAGGATTCACCCCCATTATCTCCATATTATTCTTGTACCGCTTGCGAATCCGGTCACACAGTTTGGTCACTGACTTGCCCAACTGGATCACATGAGCAAAGTCCCATTCCTCTTTATGGGCTGGTATCTCCTTTTGCATATAGTCTCGGTAGACGTCAGCTGCTCTTTGGCACAGTCCCTGGGCAAGATGTTCTGAAAATCCAGCCAGAGCATTGGGCCGCGGAGAGAACATTGGGTCGCCACCAATATGGTTCTCAAGCAGGAACATGACGGCTGCAATGTTGGGGGGCTTGGAGTCGTAACACTGCTCCATGAGTTCATACAGTTCTCGCAACAGCGCGTCATGCAAGCTGTGAAAAGTTTGCTGGTAGACTGCGAAATCATGCATGGTCCATCGGCTGGTTTCGATGTCACTCAATGGGGTTGCGTAATGTGTGATGTGAGGTGGTTTCCTGACCTCCGGCATCGGGGACTTAACAAAGTCAAAGATGGCATCCAGCTCTTCAGGAACGATTTCCTGGTCCAGGAACTTGCGAGCGGCAACCTCCAGCAGGGCAATCAAGCGTGAAAATTGTGGGATGCGCCAACGGACACAGAGCTCTGTCAGAAGGTCGACGGACTGCTTGGAGAGTGGTTTGTACTCTAATGCGGGATCTGCATGCAGTTGATCAAAGGTGACGGCGTGTTGTAAGATGTACTTGTAAAATTCCCTGGGCTCAGGGGGGATGAATGTATATATCGTCTCTTCAACGGCTCGAATGCTGCCTGGTTCACAACCAATTGACAGATTTGCTAGACTGACGGCTGGATCGAAAGCGTTTATCCCACCATCTGCTGCGGATATGACACGACTGAGGTCGGCGTAGGCCTGGTCAGTACCAATCATAGACTGTGGCCGACTGGGCAGCTGCTTTTCATAACTGCTTGACGAAGTCTTGGCCAGCTCTGGCCTTGCTGTCAAGATATCGAGCATCATTTGTGACAAATGAGGCGATTCTGACTTCTTCCACTCAACAAAGGCATCCTCGACGTCAAAGTCCTGGCTTCTCAGCGCGCCGGCCATGGTGGTGTTTAGCCTATGCTGATACGACTTGAGATCCTTGAGCGCAGCTTCTTCTGTCCAAGTTTGGCGATGTTGATTGATCTCGGACTGAACCTCGGATAGACTCATACCAAAGATGGCTGCAACCACCTGCACCATGGGCATGTCCTTGACGTCGTAGCTCAGGGGCACGACTACTTCAATGGTTTTCCCCTTGCCGTCCTGGGCACTGTCGACCAAGTTTTGGTCATTGGTCAACAGCTTCTTTTCCAAAGACGTCAGTCTTGATAGCAAGTCGGCACGGTCTCGATCATGTCCATGCTCTCGCAAGATGTTTGTGGCAAGCCTCACAAACATTGCAAGATGACGGTCCGGAAGGAGCTTCCATGAATCGTCGTCGGGAGCCTTGCCCTTCTGGGCTGCCTTGGTGGCAGATGAATAAAACATCAAGACCAGAGGCTCAAACTTCCTCTCCTTTTCGATAGTCCTGCGGAAGTTCTTCTCGGAGAAGGCCGTGTATGCTTCGGCGAAGCTTCGTTTGACAGCAGCATCGCTGAAGCCAGGGAGGGGTTCGCTGCCCCGGACCACGCCGCCGACTCGATCCAGAAGCTGGGTCGGGAAGCCGCTCGGCAGCTTCAAGCTGGTTGAGTTTCCCGAGATGTATTCTTGAACGAGCTGACCAACGCTCGAGTGAGATCGAGCGGGCGGCTTTGGTGCGGGGACATATTGCTTCCGTTTTGCTCTTGGCTGCAAGAGGTAGTGAAGGTAGGCGGTACGAAGGGCGAAGCTGCGAGCCTCTTCATGCTCGACAACGAAATGCTGGGGGCGTAAAGCAGCCCGCGAAGATGCTCTGCTTCGCGCTATGTCCCTGCTGCTGCTCTTGACGCGACGATTGGGCGTGAAGGAGCGTCGCGAGGAGGTCGACATGGTGGTGGTGGTTGTGTCGGTTGTGACGTCGTTCGTGTTCAGAATGAGAGAGCGAGTTGCTGCCCAATGCAATGCGCGATGCACGAGGTCATGGCCAGCAAAAAACACATGCGAGGACAGTAAACGCTCGCTATACAGGCAAAGCAGACAGAGAAACGGGAAGGAATCGAAATCGGACGGGCCAACGGCAAACGGCTAGGAGGACAGTTTGTAGCGTTTTGCATTTTATGATGGCGGCGAGACCCAGAAGGTTGGTGTTTCAGCGGGCCGGCGTCGGTCCGTCCACACGTCTCAAGTGCTGGGCTCGAAAATGGGGGGCTCGCAAGGTTTCCAAGGGCGACCCGACGTCATCCAGGCCTCAGCGTGCCTTCTAAAGTTGTCAACAGCAAAGCGTCAACTGGTGGTTCCGTCCAAAGTGCCAAACCGCACACGGTACTGAGGGGCGCGCGTGCGTGCGGGTCAGCTCAGCCCGAACGGCCCCCGTGCTCAAGTGCTCCCTCGAGAGAAGTTGATTGAAGTCCGGTGTTGAGGTCAACAGTCCATGCGTCGCCTGGCGTGGTGTGCAACACCGCACTGACGCCTGTGATGCTCCCAGACTATGTTACTCTGTCAGGCTCTAGATGTCTGTAACTGGGCCAAGCCAGGCATGTAATTAATTATTGACATGTGTAATTACCCAAGTTGGGAGGGAGTAGGGGGGTAGGGGTCCATCAGTGTGAAACCGCACTTGAATGCCATCAAAACATGCCAGAACATTATGTACATACATACTTATGTAAGCGCCCCACACGGGAACTTGTACTTGCAATTACTACGGAACTACTAATAGTAGTACTACTACTAGTGCAATACGGCGCTGATGCCGGGTACAGCCACCAGGCCTTCGCCTATCTGGAATCCCGGCGCCAGGCTGGAGCCTCATCACAGCAGCCAATTCATTCGTTGTTTGAAGCCCTTATGGGCTTTGAACCCTAAAAATAGCAACCTCAAAATTGTACTTTGCACCGTTGACCAGAAAATCAGCTATGCCGGTGGCAACAGAACTCAATAACATTACGACAGTATCCTACGTAAGCACCTAGGTAGGCAGTTCCAGTCCGTATTCTACCAGAACCAGGCCGTCACCATGGAACATTGAAGGAATGGAACGAATGCTCCCAGTGCCTCGTCCTTAATGCCCTCCCATGCCTGCAATGTCCAATCCCCCACCCACCCCAGTCGACATGCAGGGTTCAGTGTTCTAAAATTGCCCGCCAAGAGGGACGGATATTGGGCAGCATTCCAAGTTTTGATGCTTTGTTCGATCTGGCATCATGCCACTGCATTGTGCCCATGATGCGTATTGATGGCGAGATACTAAAATTGACGCTCGCGGATGCGCTCGGCCATTCGTGAAAACCGTTACGCCAACAACACCCTACCAGACAGGCTGTGTAGGGAGTATATTCGTGCTTGATGTCGCGTGATGTCCAGCGCTGCACAATGGGTCCAGCGAGGCGGGAAAAGACGCGCATGTGCCGTTTAATGTTCCTGCATCACTGTTTGCACAGCTGGCCCGCCATCTGGTTGGCCTCTCACTTGTCATCGTCGTCAGCTGGGTCCCACGTGGGTGAGCTGAGCAGGCGCAGCTGTCAATGTGACTGCGGTGGTTGACGGCTTCGTGAGGCAGAAATGTTCTTTGCAAGGGCCTGGGCCTGTATTCGCACACGAATGTGATGTGACGCCTTTTCTTGGGGTCTTGGGAGTTCGCGGATTTGTCGTCGTCGGCAACAGCAAAGTCTGCAAAACGCGCCGACTTGAACAGGGATGGGTCTGGTGTATCAGTAGGAACTGGCGTGGTGACGAGAACTGCTGGGCTCAAACTGTTGCGCGACTGCTACGTGACTAGAGGAGATGTTGTTGCAAAAGCCCCAGTACCTAGGTTCTCCGTAAGTTGCTACTATACTGGCCTGGCTGCAAGCGTACTTGACTCCTGGTAGTATGAGGCTCTCTCGATATGACCAATGCTATGTTGCTTTCCATGTCCCATGTAGTTTGTTTGACGACCGGCCCAGCTGCCCCATGCTTGCAGAGTACGGACATGGAAGTCAAATTACCTCAAGTTCGAGTGTTGGTCCATGGTTCTGTTTACTTTACCGAGTGGTGGTAGCTCTCTCTGTTACGGAGTCAATGCTAATGTTCCGAAACATAAGCCACCAGCGCCCTACAGCGCCTCCTTCTTCGCCACGGCCAAGCAGCGGATACTAGTGCCAGACACGGAACATTGAATACAATAATGCACCGTTCACTCACCACTTGAAAGCCTCGGTGCTACTACTTGTAATTACTAGGTCTGGTCCTTAAAACTCAAGTACTTGCGTCTCTAGTAGAGGAGTGGCGCTGGCCAAGTTCCAGCATTCAAAGGTTTCAATGTCGTAGCCGCCGGAGTGAGCTCCTTGAATGTTGACTAAGTTATAACCGGCTTGGCCTGGTTGCGACGACCCTGGCTCTAAACTGACCGGACCAGACCCCATCCAATCTCCAAACATGGAACCGCTGAACCATTGAACCCAAGCACGTCTGGTGCTGGTCGCGCATGCGGCCACCCACGCACTAATACCCACCACCCTTCCGCCACCAATTGAGCCCACTGCCGCCACCCGTCCCCCAGTCCCCATTCCCATTGTCACTGGACAGACCAGACCATTGCCTTGAATGAACTGTGTCCACAAACAGCCAGCAAGCAGATCTGTGGCACCAGCAGTCCACGTCCGGCGTTTGATGGCTGGCGCCTGCGCTTGTTGCATCAAATTGATCCCCTCGTGCTCCATCTTTATACGCCCCGGGCTCCTCCAAACCATCTTCTCACATCCATCCATCCATCCGTCCTTTCTTGATTCCAGACACAGCTCCTTTTGCCGTTTAGCTACTGTTTACCCGTTCGTGCGCAGCGTGCAGACATCTCTAGGAACCCGCCTCCCGCCATATATACCATATACTTTGCGACTGATCGTCATCTCCAATTCGAGCCCGCGCCTTTCCAACATTGAGCTTTCCAGTCTCCTCCTCATCTGGGCTAGGCAGGCGACAAGCATCTGGGGGGTCTGGGCCTGGGTTTCTTCCGTACCCACCGCCAAATGACTGGCTGAGCTCCTCCAAGAGCGTTTCGCCCCGCGCTGCCCCGAACCTGCCTCGACTGCCTCGACCGCATCAAATGCTTCAGCTGCTTCAGCTGCTTCCAGCGTCTCCAATCTCGAGCGCTCTCCTTCCCAAGCCGACCATTTCAACTGCTCGACGCAGCTCCCAATTTGAACCACCAGGCAATTCTTTGCCCTCGAATGCCGTCGAGCAGTCCTCGGCATGGGCAACATCACTAGCAGGCCCGACGACGGGTCGACGCCATATCTTAGGGACCAAAACAGACGTACGTTGGCTCCAAACTTTTGATTTCTCCCCTCTTCTTCTGTTGACCTGGGCACTCACTCTTCATTCTTCGCAGTGAGCATATCCTCGCTGGTGGTGACCAATCCGCGGAGGCGCAGTTCCGTCAACATTGTCCCGAATGCATTCCCAGCGAGCAGAATAGTCGTTAGTCGATTGTCCGGCGAAACATCCCCAATAGAATACGTACAGGTGCGTTGATTATGCCCGAAAACCTTCGATTTGTTTGCCGCTACACTCAAGCCGGTTGCTGTATTTCCTCTAATCACCATGCCGTCAGGATCCTGAATCATCGAATAATCTCACCGCCGCACCCAACTTTCTGCTCAAACTGAACGGCGATGACGAGCTTATATTCACATTCACGTTTGTAATTCGCCAGTCACACGTACCTGCTGCTGCAGATGGCCGGCCGGCTACTTCAGATACCAATATCTCTGGCCTAACATTTGTTTACGCCTCTACCCCCAGAGAAGTTTCGAATCTTGTCACACGAGAATTCCATGCCGATCCAAACCTTCACAAGAACGCCAATGTAGAACTCGTGGGCGATTATAGCACAGGTGGCAATTCATCTGTGACATTTGAATGGACTTGGAAGTGGAAACCCCCCAAGCCTGTTGAGGACAAAGGGGGCGGTTGGAGGAACTGTTGCAGCGTAAGAATGCGATGCTATTATCAGGTCACTACCTATTTGTTACAGCAGCTAACTTTTATTTTCTCGGTCCCAAGTTTGTCGAATACGACCCTCGAGCCCACCGTTTAGATACTCTGGCGAGCTTCTCCTACTTTGTCTCTAGTACGTAACAGGCCCTAATATTGAAACGGCGACAAACAGATACCATGGGATTCTAACGCCGTTTATAGGTCCAGGTTTACCCCTGAGTAACCCCAGTTCACCTTCGCCGCAATTCCTATTGAGCTCGCCTCCAAAAATTCGAGTTGCCTCCACGCAGTCGGTCGAGTCTCGATTAACTGGGGTCGATGTTGATGAGCCCGTCTCTCCTCTTCTTGCACCGAATGAAAGCTTGTCGCAAACGAACACGAACCAGATGCAAGAGCCTGTCAAGGTTGATGTTCCATGTCCCAAGTACGACGATGATGTCACTGTCAGTGATGATGGTCCCGTCTTTCGGGCGACTTTAAAAGCGCTGGAGCAAAAGACTGGCAATATGCGAGTCCAGATGAAGAAGGTTCTAAAACGAGCAGAGCATGCCCATTTGCAGCAAACTGAGGCCAACGATGCTTTTGTTTCCTTCATGGAAGCTCTGCGAGAAGCGTCTTCTACCAATGCCAACGCCTTCCAACCCGCTTTGGAGCACTATTTTGATAAAATCGCACGCGAAGTCGTGGCCTATGAACGCCAGAATACAGCAAACTTACAAAAAATTATTATAGAACCGCTAAACAAGCTATATCAACTCGACATCAAGCAAGCTGAATACAAAAAGCGCGACTTTGAAGAAGAAAGCAAAGATTACTACGCATATGTATCTCGGTATCTGGGTCAGCGGCAGGATTCGGGCAAGGCGAAGAAACTTGCGGATAGTGATTCAAAATACCAAAACAAGCGACGAAATTTTGAGCTGAAGCGATTCGACTACTCCAGTTTTGTGCAAGATCTTCATGGTGGTCGCAAAGAGCAAGAAGTTCTTTCTCACCTGACAAAATACGCAGATGCACAAACAAAAGGCTATCTGGCTACTGCAAAAAGGATTGAGGACTTCCTTCCACAGTTGTCGGCGCTTTCTTCTGAAGTTCAAGAAGCAGACAAGGAGTACCAATATCGACGTCGAGAGCGGGAGGAGAAACGACGACAGCTGGAAAAGTCCAACACCCCTTATTTGGAACCAGAACAAGCAAGCCTGCACAGTTCTGCTCCGTTGTCCTCGAGCCTGAACGGTAATGCCGGAAATACTTCTGACAGCGAACTTGGCCGTGCTGATAGCACAGGCTCGCAAATTAAGAACGCCATTGCTATCGGCGTTGGTGGCCAAGGAAGCGCGACCCAAGGAGCCGAGCTATCGAGATCTCCTGGTAGCCAAGGCCAGTCGTCGTTGTCTAGCTCCACACCGGGGGCCAAGTTCAAAGGCTTCCGAGATCTTGAGGAGCGAGATACAGCACAGGGTGTGGTGAGCCAACGAAAGGAAGGTCTATTGTGGGCGCTAAACCGACCGGGTGGCCATGTTGATCCACGAAACTTGAACAAGCAGGGATGGCACAAGTAAGTCATACAGCCTTTTGACAGGCACTCTTTATCAAGAAAAAAGGGGGATGGGATACCTGGTGTGCATGGGGTTGAATGTGAAACTAACTATATCCAGATTTTGGATTGTTTTGGATCAAGGAAAGCTATCCGAGTACAGTAATTGGAAGCAGAAGCTGGACCTCCACATGGATCCCATCGATTTGCGAATGGCTTCTGTACGTGAGGCACGCAATGCTGAACGCCGATTTTGTTTCGAGGTTATAACGCCAAACTACAAGCGTGTTTATCAGGCAACATCTGAAGAGGACATGAACAGCTGGATTCTGTCGATAAACAATGCATTGCAAAGTGCGATGGAAGGCCGGGGCGTTCCGGAACCCTCATCCTCGTCTAGGACACCTGCAGATTCGTCTCTTAAGAGGGATATTGGCTCTATTTTGACGGGCAAAACACAGCACTCGGGCCATGGTCCACTACACCATCATTCGACCACAAACGCGGGAATGCCCCAGCGCAGAATAACAGTCGGCGCCCGGCCTGGCGCGGTTCGCACGACGAGCTCAGGGTATGATGAGAACCCAGACAAGCTGCTGCAAATGGTTCGAAACGCGGATCAGGGTAATTGTTGGTGTGCGGACTGCGGCTCAGGGTCAAAAGTGGAATGGGTCTCCATCAACCTGGGCATCATTTTGTGTATTGAATGCAGCGGCATTCACCGGTCTCTGGGTACACATATCAGCAAAGTCCGATCACTTACACTGGATATCAAGTCATTCACAATCGATATTGTCGAAGTCCTCTTGCTCATTGGAAACAGGGTATCAAACATGATTTGGGAGACTAAACTGAATCCGTCTCAGAAACCAAGTCCGCAAGCGACTCGAGAACAACGGTTGAGGTTTATCACTGCCAAGTACGTGGATCGGGCATATGTTGAGCCAATCTCGACAACACTTTCAAGATATGCGACCCCGGACGAGACCCTGCTGGCGGCTATCAAAAAGAATGAAATTCAGCAGGTCATGTACGCCCTGGCACTCAAAGCCAACCCCAATGTGGTCGATAAGATGAGGGGGACGCATGCAATCTGGCTGGCACTTGCAGCAGCAGATCCAGCACAGCCATCGCTGACATCGAGCGTGAACGCCTCCGAGACAGATGTTAAAGCTGTTCCCTTCCCTGTTGCTGAACTCCTCACCCAGAATGGGGCAGAAATTCCAGGATCAATGCCCGCTTTCCCACTTGGCCGATTTGCCCAGCAGTACTACGAACAGAAGATGGGCAGAGGCAATAATCCAGGACACGACGTCTTGGGCTCTCTACCCCTTCACCTGAGCTCAAGCGATAGGCCGCAGCGAGAGAGGGAAGCTAGGCTACAGAAACGTGTGAGTGCTGGAGGGCGACTAGCAAAGTCTCCCATACCCGAAAAATAGGAACACAGATTTTGGGATCGATGGACAAGCTTTGCTTTGTGCTATCACGTACATGAGCTGCCTCGGCTGCGAAAGCTATGGGCGGCCAGCAATAATGGGAGATGCTATTACGTGTGAATGAAGCCTTTTTCTTCTTCTTTATTTTCTTAGTCATGGAAGAGGCAAATGTCCTTAACTGTCTGCTACACGCTGACGCCAGTGTGGACGATGCAGGATCGAGTTTTACATGGAAGTTTTGGGGGAATTAATTATGGGCATCGGCGTTTGGGTGGCAGCCTCGTTCTCGTCGCCGCGAGCGGCTTTTGCATTTCGCAATGACGATGACACACACGCGGGGAGACAACACAGATGGGAAGCGTTTTGCGCTCATGGACCAGATGACCAAACAACAATATAGCTTATCCAGGCAAAGAGGTCTGGGAAATGTTGGAAACAGCAGACGTTTGAACGGATGTGTAGGATGGATAGGTAGTTCCTAATAATAATGGCCCAGGGCAGCCGAGTCTGCTGCATGTGCGGTAACGATGTTGAGTGTCGACTTGGCTGAATCCTTTGTTGCTTGTCTTGGCAGTGAAGTTGGTCTATAAGCGTACAACCTAGTTGGTAGTGATGACAACTATGGCAGCAGAAGTTGGCCAAAATTAGAATCAGGATTAAGGTCCTGGTCAGATCCGCAGCCCTTTTAGAGGATCGGCCCGCTGTGGCTCCAGGGAGAGAGATGACTATCGATGGTTTGAGTCACATGGCGTGACAGTGTCCCAGTTTCCCTTGGCCGCGGCACATCCTGAATAATGTGTGACACCAGTTGATGACTGTCAAGGAGCTTTATTAGCGTCGTGGGCGAAGTGGCGATGAGGGTCATCTGCTTTTGGATGTGGCAGGTGACTGCGCGCCGTTGGACGGGTCACTCATTCGGCGACTGAAACTCGCGATTCCTGCCGTTCAATGGCGGTCGGTGGATTGTGCGGCTTGCTTCACAGGCTAGGCCTCCAACAGGGTGCTTGGAAGAAGAAGATAGTAGTTACTAGCATCCATACATACGGGGTGTAATATGTTGTACATGGTGTCTTCAATTACGCCAGCTCGAAGTCCCCACCATGAGCGAACTGAGTAGTATTCAGCTTCAAGGTGAGTCAATAGGGTTCGGTTGCTGGTGCTCAGCTGGTTCCTTTCTGAGCCACCATATCACTTATCGTTGGCCACATATTGGCAATGGATCGTATGTACGTACTCCACGCGCTCTGATAAGAGAGTAGTAAAACTATACTCGCATCATACTTGTAATATCACTTGACTGAAGAGCGAAACAATACTCCCCTTAGTAAAACCATTTGTATGCGCCGCAATGCGAATGAGTGGTAAATGAGTACGTACCGTCGCTCAAGCATTGAGTGGACCGGCCCCAGATCCCACATCGACACACGGTGCTCGGGTCCGGTTGGTCCTAACAAGTACTTCAAGTAAGTACTTAAATACTTAAGTAAGTTACTCCATGTCCGTATTAATACATGTCCGGTGCTTTGTAGTTTAATAGTCAGCTGGTCACGTCCAACAACTTGCCCCGTGCTGCCAGGCTGCTCTCCACCGGGCTGAGAGCTGGCTCAGGGCTGGCACCTGGCTCATGGGGCTGACTGGCATGGCTCAATGTTGGATCGACCGTCCAGCTTCCCCTCCGTCATCACTTGCCCATGTTTTTTTTAATTCATCCCAGGCACCCTCGCCCATTCTCCCCTCGATCCGCAACCGTGATTTTCGCCGACATCACAGCCTTGGCCCAGTTGCAGCTGAAGAGCTCTTGTTTTTCCTCTTTTGCTGTTTAATAGGCACCCGAGGACATGGCACCTCGCAGCGAAAAGAGCCAATTGAAGCGCCAGCGCGTGAGTTTCTCTGCCCATCTTGTACCTCCTTGCGCACGCTTCGTCGTGCTGCTTGTTTCGCCCACGTCACCCTTTCGCTCACCAATCATCCAACCCAGGGTTCGCTGCCCGAGGACGCAACCGAGTCTAAGAAGCCTCGGAGATCGGACCGTCTGTCGTCGCAAACTGTTGGTGCTGTTGGTGCCGCCGCCGCCGCCGCCGCTGACAAGACGCCCATCATCAACAAGCAGCATCTGCCGTCTCCCGTTACGCACGTCGCCGCTGAGGAATCGAGTGATGCCAATAAGGAGGCTACCCCTACACCCTCTGCAGGCAAGCATGAGGATGTCACTCCGCGAAAGACCGACGAGGCCTTCCCCCAGAGCCAGGCTTTGTCATCACCGCCCCAAGACACCCAGCCGCTCAGCCAGTTTGTCGATCGACACCCTGCACTTTCCGACGATGTAGAGGATGAGGTCAAGGAAGGTGTTTGGGGATACTTGGTGCCTCTAGATCCCAAATACGGCGATAAGCCATTGGTGCTAAAGAGACGAAATGCATGCCCACAGCCAGATAGCGTGGATGCTGCCGTGAATGGTGAAAAAACACCTCTAAACACTAACAAGCCTGCCCCCATCAGGGCTGAGGAAATTTTTGAGCGCAAAAATGCAAAGGGAGCGGCTTCGGGTGGCTATTTGATAGGCCGACATCCTGAGTGTGGTATGTGTTGAAATTGTTTTTATGCCTAGTCAGAGCCCCCGTGAGGTTAACCCTGAGCTTCTGCACAGATATCGTAGTCAACGAAGGCATCGTTTCAAACCGCCACTGTCTTTTGTTCACAGAGAATAATGGGACGGACACCGTCGCTATTGTAGAGGATCTTTCCAGTAACGGCACCTTTGTCAACGAGGCCATTGTTGGTCGTAATCAGCGCCGAGAACTCGAGGATCAGGATGAGATTGCAGTACATGGCAAGGCCAGGTTCATTTTCAGGTATCCTCAGAGCCGACGCACGAGCGCCTTTTCGCAACAGTATGCATTACTGGAGAAGCTCGGCAAGGGCCATTTTGCTGAGGTGTACCTCTGTATCGAAAGATCTACTGGCCAACGGTATGCCGTCAAAATCTTTACGAAGCCTCCTGGTATGGAGGACAAATCCAAAACGGAAGGCCTTCAGCAAGAAATCGGTGTCTTGATGGGTGTCAGCCATCCAAATGTCTTGTGCCTCAAGGATACGTTCAATGAGCGTGATCGAGTGTATCTCGTCTTGGAACTGGCCTCGGAGGGCGAGCTGTTCAACTTTATTGTAATGAAGCAGAAGCTCAGCGAGGATGAGACGAGAAAGCTGTTCCTCCAACTCTTCCAGGGGATCAAATATCTCGTACGTGTATACGTAATCCGCCCATCACGAATACTGCAATGCTGACGACCCCAATAGCATGAACGAAATATTGTTCACAGAGACATCAAGCCGGAGAATATTCTGCTTGTCGACAAAAACCTGCACGTCAAGTTGGCTGACTTTGGCCTCGCCAAAATCATCGGCGAAGAGTCATTTACTACGACCCTTTGCGGAACCCCCAGCTATGTCGCCCCTGAAATTCTTGCCGATTCCAAGCAACGCAAATACACCAAAGCTGTCGACATTTGGTCTCTTGGTGTTGTGCTGTACATCTGCCTTTGCGGTTTCCCTCCATTCTCCGACGAGCTCTACTCTCGCGATTTCCCTTTCACTCTGTCACAGCAGATTCGAAGCGGTCGATTTGACTACCCCTCCCCGTACTGGGATTCTGTTGGTGATCCTGCTCGTAAGCCAAAGCCACCCTATCGAGTTCATTCTTGTTCTGCTCAAGTGTAATACTGATAAACGACAGTTGACCTCATCGACTCCATGTTGATCGTAGATCCAGAACGCAGATTCACCGTGGAACAATGTCTTGCCCATCCCTGGATGACCCAGAACAGTCCCGGTGTAAATGACAGCACAGGCGGTCTTGTGGGGGGCATTGCTGGACTAGAGGTGAACCGCCGTGCACCGGCTCGGGAGAGAACTCTGCTTGCAACGTTGAACTCTGTTCAAGTCACCGCCCAAGTTGCGGTTGGCGATGATAAGGCTCCGGTAAAGGTATTTTCCAAGAATCAGCAGCGAATCACGAACGCTTCAAAAGAGAAGGCACCAGACCACCATCGAGCGGCTGGGGAATTCATGGAGATGGGAGGCAAGGGCGATCAGCCGCTATTTGGCGACGACAGTGGAAGCATATACGCGACAGCAACGAGGACTGGCCAGAAAGGCAAGGCTCACGGCCGATAAACGCACCCCCAAGTTTACATGTACTTGGCTAATGATGGTGCAACTAATATTTTTGAACCAGAGTTGTTTGGATCGTGTTTTATGGACATTTTGCGAATTATACCGATATACGATTGAATTATTTTCTTTATCTTCTCTCGCATTGGCATGTACATAGATTCTTGGGCGTAATGGTTTGATGCGACAGATGGGACATGGCATGTTTCTGTTGGCTACAGAGTAAACTCAATTTCAATGGATAGGCACGGTGTTGTAAGGACTCTGAGGCATCGGGCTGTAAGGATGGGACGCTCAGCTGTTGTGATGCTTAGAATAGCAAATACTCATCTTGCAATATGCGGGGTCTAAGAATTGGTAGCGAAAGCAATGTTTTCACTATGGCAAAGAAATTTGCAGAACTCGCACCAGGCACTTTGGTAGAATGCAACTTTATAATTGAATACATACACTTTGCGGGTCGTTTATCTTCTGCATGATGTACAATGCAGCTGCTCTGTTGGTTCATCATGACTTACAAGGAGCTGCACGTGCAGAGTCACATGTGGAGCTAAGCGAGGGCGGTGACGCCTAGCTCCCACACACTGAGAGCGGCAGAAAAATCGGGCGGGGTGTGCGAAGGACTCACAGGCAAAGCCCCACCACAGGGCTATTCAGGCCGTCGACCCTGCCAACGGACGCTCAACATCACATTTTCCGCTCTCGAGTTCCACCCCCTCCCTCTTGTTTGCAGACGTCGTGCCAGCGATCGCGAGACCGCCGCTTCCAGTCTCCCCTCTCTCCCTCGTCCACGTCTCCAAACGAGGGTCTATCCCTTTTTTTTTTCTCGCTGGTGAACTCGAATCGACGACGAGCCGACCGAAACCCCTCGTCCCTCTTCGCGAGAGGCGAAACCGAAAAATTTCACGATGCCCGCCTCCAAAAATAATGAGCAGCCCCAGCTGCTCTTCGTCGATGGAACCTTTGAGGAGCTTGCCAAGGAGATGGCCGAGTACCTCAAGGCAGAGGAAGCCGCTCAGCTGCTGAGCAAAGAAAAGGTGTCCAAGGAAGATGTGTTGGCCAAATTGGTTGCTGCTTCGGCCGGTCTCAGCACCGTCCCCGAGAAGGAATATACCGCTGCCTCGAACCTCGTGATCCACCTCGTTTTGCAGTCCGCCGACCCTAAGAAGTACCTGCAGACTCTTTGCGCCAACCTCGCCAAGGTCCCCGTCAATTCGTCCGTCCACGGCCCCGGCCTGTCCCTGAACGCCCTGGCGACAGTTTTCAACCTGCTCCCGCCGGAGGACGTCATCCGCGCCCGCATCTTCCTCGAGATTGTCAAGTTCTCGAGGGCACACAACATGTTTGACAGCATGCGCTTGTACCTGGATAAGCTAGGCGAGTGGCTCGAGTCATGGGAGGCCAGCGAGGAGATTGAGCGCATGGTTTACGAGAACGTTGCCGAGGCGGCCCTGGAGGCCGGCGAGGAGTCCATCAGCTACGATTTTGTCCTCAAGGCCCTTCGGACCTTTGACGCCGACGAGAAGGACGAGATCACGTCAGAGGATGCGCAGAGATTGTCCCTGCGCGCCATCAAGATGGCCATCCTATCCAACACCCACTTCCTCTTCCAAGACCTCCGTGCCATCCCCAGCATCCAGGCCCTCAGCGACTCTCACCCCATATACTCGCAGCTTCTCGACATCTTTGCCGAGCAGGACCTCGAGGACTACAACGACTTCACCGAGGAGCACGAAGGCTGGGTCGAGCAGCAGAAGCTCGACCACGAGAAGCTCCACCGCAAGATGCGCCTCCTCACCTTTGCCAGCCTCGCCGCTGCCACGCCCAGCCGCGAAATCGAGTACGCCAAGATCGCCAAGGCCCTCCAGATCCCCCAGGAGCACATCGAGATGTGGGCCATCGACGTGATCCGCGCAGGCCTCGTCGAAGGCAAGCTCTCCCAGCAGCGCAACAAGTTCCTCGTGCACAAGGTCACCTACCGCGTCTTCGGCGAGAAGCAGTACCAGGAGCTGTCCACCCGCGTGGACCACTGGCGCGCCACTCTCCAAAACGTCCTCGGCGTCCTGCGCCAGGAGCAGACCAATGCCAAGGCCCAGAAGGAGCGCGAGATTCAGGAACTGGAGCGTAAGCTCAACAATGCCGGAGTGAGCGGCGGCAACCGGCGGCAACAGAACCCACAGTCACAGCAACGTGAGAGGACCGACAATGACGACTAAACGATTCCCTGCCCTTTTTTTTTGTTTGTTTGTTTTACCATTCAAACGAAAAAAATATTAACATGAAAACCCGGAAGATTTAAACAACGTCCAGCGAAAAGCGACGGTTACAAAAGAAGGGAAAAGGGACCGGGTCTCTTGAGCGCGAAAACCACACAAAGACGCAGCGGTGGACCCGAACATGCATCTCACGAGAGGGAGCAAAAACGAAAAAGAGAGGCGCCTGAGGGCTGGTGGCGGTATTCTGTATACCGATGAAATAACTGTGTTAATACCGTCGTTTGGGAAAGCAAGAAGGCCTTGACTTGACGACAACAAAAGACATGTGCAACGGGGGAAACATTTATTTTTATGCGAATGGCGCTGCAGGTTTAGCATCAGATGTTTCTATTCAAAATAGGATCAATGAAGACTATAAAAAATTTGAAAAATACCTCCTCACCCCCCCCCCCCCCTCCCCGGTCTTTGTCGTGTATGCCGTGATTTAGCGTCCTATTTACACTGTTTGACGCTGTTGTACGACGATAAAGTGTGAGTGAAACCCAATAAAGTGAAAATATGCCAACGGACCGTCTTCTTCTCGCCATGGTATTATACGTTACAGCGTAGCCAGGGCCGGCGGCGCAACAAGCTTCATCTTACATTCCTGTCTAAATGAACACAAGGGAAAAGAAAAAAGGTAAAGTCTCGAGCTGACTCCCGATGCTTTGACAACCCTACCCCTGTGCCGAGTCCAGCCGGTGCAATTGTAAAATCTTTCATGGTGTTTTCTCTCTATCCCAAAGTTGACACTGAAAAGAACAAATAAAGGTACAGGAAGAGCATCGAGGGACCGCTCTGAGAAAAAGAATAATGCAATAGTTATGAACAATAACAGCGCAGCAATACATCTACCATTCCTCAGAAGAAGGATGAACTGGATATTGGTGCAAGAGGAACGAATTCGTGGCAAACTGCGACGCAACTAAAACTCCTTGCCAAACTTCTCAGTCAGACGTGCCTTTGTGTTGGCAAAGACCTGATCCGGCGTAGGGGTAGCATCAATCTTGACCACCTTGGCCTGCTTCTCGTAGTAATCCACAACAGGCATGCTTGTCTCGATAAAAGTACGGAAGCGCTTGCGAATGCTCTCGGCGTTGTCGTCGGCGCGGCCGCTGGTCTTGCCGCGCTCGAGGAGACGCTCCTCCATGACTTTTTCGGGACAGTCGAAGAAGAGGACCATTCTGGCGGGGCACACGGACTCTTCAAACTTGTGCGCCTGGTCAAGCTTGCGCGGGAAGCCGTCGATTAGGAAGCGGCCCTTTGTGGCGTTGCCGTTGCTCTGGAGCGCCTCGGTCATGGCGTTCTCGAGAAGCTGGATGGTGACCTCCATGGGCACAATGAGCCCGTTCTTGATGTAGTCGCGGATGAGGTCGCCGAACTGGGAGCCGGGGCGCTCCTGTTCGGCGCGGAGCAGGTCGCCGGCGGAGAGATGCGTGAAGCCGTACTGCTTGACGAGGTTGGCGCACTGGGTGCCCTTTCCGGCGCCGGGGCCGCCGAGGACGAAGAGCACCGTGACGTCGGAGGGAGAGAATGTGGGCGAGGATTTGGCAGGCGGGGGGAGCTGGCCCTCGGTCTTGGAATCGCTTGTTCGAGTCATATCTATGGTGGTTCGGAACGTTAGGAGCTAGGAGGTGGTTGACGAGGGGGGTTACATCAACCATACCTTTGCGACGGTTCACCAACCCAACGTAGCCGGCTGAGCCAATGGCAATCACGGCAATAAAAGGCCAAAACTTGACCCTGTCCTTGTTGCCAGTCGGCCCACTGTCAGAAGAGTAAAATCGCTGCTGTCGCTTGCCACCACGGAAAGCTGTGCGCGGAGTCCAGGATAAAGGCGTTGTTGAGCAGGCACGGCGGCCAGCCGCAACGGATCTGCTTGCCAGGCGCCACGAGAGGGGAACACGTGAAGCCATTGGCTCAGGTGAGGTGCACAGAAAGACGAGAAGAGGGAAGAAAAAAAATTAAGAGGTACGAGATGCAGTGTGATGGGTTGAACGCCAGTCGTGTGTGAGACCCTGGTTCCGTCGTGATTTTCCGCACACGTGGGACGAGCTCGCCAAGGAAGAAAGGGGGCGTGCTACAGACCTGCAGGAAAGGAGGGAGGTCCGACAAGACAGCGGGGAGCAAAAATCGAAGAGGGCAGGTTGTCGGGGAACAAAACGAAGGACGTGGTTATCATCAATTGGACGTGTTGGCTAGAATGTGGTGGAAGAAAAGGCGAAATGAAGGGGGTTGTTGTTGGACGCTGCAGGCGCCATCACGTGGGGCTCACTTGCCGGGCTACACCACGACTGAGGAACGGGTTGTTTGAGGTCAATGGTTTGCGGCCAAGGGATCAAGCAGGATGATGAATGTAATGCAAAACCAAAGATGAGCCTGTTTTTTTAATACAAGCAAGAAGAGCTGCTCAAAGTCTGAGATTTGGGTCATGACACTGCACACACCCCGAGCTTAGCGACTTGCGTGAACATGCATGATGCGAGTTGTTGGTTAAGCTAAACCGCAAGCTCTGCGTTCTCAGCCTGCCTTTGGTTTCGACGGCCGCCACGAGGCTCTTTCCGGGCACATGCGCAGGTGACGTGAGACCATCCAGCATGAGACCAAGGTTGGCTGGTTACAGCCGCAACTCCAACTACAACACAGCTTTCACACCGACGATATGTCTCGACGCAACCACCACACGTACCATGCAGCCTGCTAGACTAGACTGCGGGGTCGTGATAACCAGCAGCAACTTCTTGGCAGGGATGCTCAACGTGCTCAACCGTCAACCAGGCCAGCTGTGCTAACGGCCCGACTCAATGGTGCCGCTCACTCGCGCAAGAATAGCCTCCCATGACACAATACACACCCATCAAAACTGTCCAAGAATACATACTGCCGTGCCTAGTGTTTGGAAATCAGAATGTAGTCACGTCTTTGGCCAACTTTGCTGATAAAAAGGCAGCGCCGCCTTGTACAGTACGAGACAAAAAGTATTTAACCAGATGGGGTACCTGGCTATATATACTATAATATATTATAGAATATTAGTGCATGCTTCTAGATGGGTAAATATGTTCCGCCACAGATTGTATGTCCAAATCCTGGTTTCTTTTCTTTTCTTTTTTTTTTTTTGTCCAGCTCGGAAAAGACATTGACTAATGTGTATTCTCCAGAAACTAAACATCTTCAACAATCACTCCCGAGCACTCAGAAATCCTCACGGTAGAATTCTTCAGGGTATTAAACGAAAGCCTATACGAGTTCAACCCTGCGGGTGTGGCATGGAATGTTGCCTTTGAGGCTTTTGAGGAGGCAAGCATATACGTCTGAGTCTCACGGAATAATGCAGAAACAACTTAAAGGCGGCCATAAACTCTCCTAGATTTATTCAGCTAGTAGCTCCAACTTGTGCACTCTGAGCTACACGCCCGATAACATCTTCATTTCCTTCTGCTGCAAAGACATCTTATATTGGGAAAGGTCATGTTCCATCATCATAATGTACTTGGTCAAGAAAATATAGAAATATAAATATATACCTTTGGGGGGGATTCGAGCGTTGGAAATCGTCTCAAATATACAACCAACCAATCGCCGTCTCTTCACTGAAGGGTTCCCCCCCTGCTCAAGTTAAGAATTTAGGCACCGTTGCCGTTGTAGGCAAGGTAGTTGACAGTGCCAGAGGGAACACCCTTGAGCGCGTTCTTGGTAGCAGTGTCCTGGATCTTCTTGCAAAGAGCGGCAGGGGTAGTCTTGCCTTGGAGCGCACTGAGGTAGGCAGCCAGGCCGGCAATATGGGGAGTAGCCATGGAGGTACCAGAGATGGTGTTCTAAACCTTGTTAGAGCTGGTGCTGAAGCAAAAGCGTGTCTCTAAGCTTATCGAGGTAGGTACAATACTTACAGTGCTGCCACCAATCCAGGTGGAAAGAACACCGGTACCAGGAGCGAAAATATCGACAACTTTGCCGTAGTTGGAGAAGGAAGATCGGTTGTCATTTGAATCAGTGGCACCAACAGTGCAGGCAGAAGGCTCGGAAGCGGGAGAGGTGTTCTGGGCATCCCGGTTATCGTTGCCAGCGGCGACGGCAAGGAAGACACCAGAATTGACCAAAGCAGCAGCACCTTGGTTGACGGACGCCGAGTAGCCACCTCCCAGGCTCATGGAAGCAATGGCGCCTTTAGGGCAGCCGCGGGTCTTGGAGTCCTGTGCAACGTAGTCCATGCCACTGATGATACCGGAGTAGGAACCACTGCCCTGGTTGTCAAGAACCTTGACACCATAGAGCTTAGCCTTTTTGGCAACACCGTAGCTTTTGCTACCAATGGTACCAGCGCAGTGAGTCCCATGGCCGTGGCCATCAGAGGTTTGACCGCTGATGAAGCTCTTAAGAAAAGTGGCGCGACCCTCAAACTCCTGGATGATATTGTTAAATTTCCTACTCCGCGCTATGGAGTTTTGACGGCACAACTTACGGGGTGGGAGGCCTCAATACCAGTGTCAATGATATATACGCAAGTACCCTCACCGGCACTATCATCGTAGCGATAGGTGGTGCTTCCCTTCTGGCGGTGTGAGATGCGCCCAAGACCCCAGGGAGCACCGCTCTGCTCAGTGATGCCGCTGATACGCATCACGGCGTCCTTCTCAATGAAATCGACCTATGGGGCAGCGGGTCAGCAACAAACACCTACATGTCTCCCTTGACTACCTAGGTAAGTGGGAGGGGGTACTTACACCGGGGTGCTCACGAAGCATCTTCAGCTCCTCCTTGGTGAGGGAGCCTGCAAACCCATGGAAGGCGTGCTCGTAAACGAAGTCGGCTTTGGAGGTAAGAGCGCTGACCGTGTCATCGGTAGCGATACGGGCAATATCATCCTTGAACTTGACAATATACTTGTCGGCAATGATGCTCTCAGCCTGAGGAGTGAAGAGAGGAGCTGGCTCAGCGCGCCGGCCAATGGTGGCAGGGGC